CTTACCGAGCGATTGGTTCTTACTTATGGATCATTTACATTTAACCTTTCTAGAAGCAAGGCTGAGTTCTGAAATCCATCGAAGAAAAGTGTTACAACCATGCGTACTACACAACTGTACATATACAAAAATGTGTGTGTATATGTTATTTGGACTTTATAGAAAGTTAAAATAAATCTGAAGAAAAAAATTCTGTAAAAATATAACTAATAAATATACGACAAAGTCCATTTCATCACCTTTAGATAATTATTGTACGTCACAACGTCTCATTTAATTTAAACAATTTTCCCATTTTGTGAACTATCTTAATTATTTCAAATGTATTGTATATTAAATTTAAATTAATAAATTAATATATAGTTTTCCATATTGACTGAATATATAACTAAAAAATTAAAAATTGGAAAAAAAAATGGGGACTCACATCTTTTACTCCATAGATTTGTACATATCAGTCGTTTCAGTGCTCATTTTGTTACGTGTTTGACATATTCTTGTTTAACCTTGTTTTTAAAATCAATCATCAATAATTTAATTAAAGTTTTTAATTTGCATAATTTCTTGAATGTAATAATTTTCTCTTTTTTATAACGCAAAACGCACGTTAATTATTATAAATTTAATTTTCGATTTTTGTAAATATTTTTATGAGTAATCCCAGAGAATAACCACAGACTTTTAATTTGTAATATTAACACGCAATAAAAGACATAGAGCGTTTGCATTACGTGGATGTACTCATGGAATCTGAAAAAGGAAATGATGGAAAAATGTCACGTTCTATTGATAGCTCGATTCTTTTCAATCCTGGAAATACTCTCGATGTAAAGTACGAAACCAAATAGTACCACAATAATTTGCATAAATAGTTTGCATAAAAAAGTTATATCTATTGACAACTTAAATAAACCGTATTTTATTTAAGAAATTTTCTCATTGTTTAGTATTCATTAGTTTTACACAAGATTTTTATTCATTTAATTAAGATTTTTCTATTTATAGAAATTCTATTCAGAGAAACATTGGAAATCCAAAGGAAGTAATTACTGAAGCAGAGAACAGAATTGGAGATAAAGTACAAGGTGAAACAATATCATTTTCTGAAAATAGTAACTTCTCGCATTCCAACTTTGAAACTGTATATGATGAATATGAAGAAGACAAAGATGTACGTTGGAAATTACCGAAGATAAAAAAGTTACCAACCCTCTCAACCCTAGTACGTTTTTATTATGTTGATTAATTATTTAGAAAAGAGCTATAGAATTAAATTTAATTAAAATATTATAATTATTGAACTTTAGAAAAAAATATTTTTTAATAATTTGCTAATTTTATTTTTTTAAATATAACACACTTTTTTATCATCAGATAGTACTTATATGACACCTTTCACACATTTCTGATATATCAATAGAAAAATAAAATATTTGTATCATAATGAATTTAAAAAAAAATATTATTTATCTAGTGTAATACTAATTTATATTTTGTTTTTTTTATATTTAAATAATTGTAAACCAATACATAATGGATGAAGTATTTATATAATGATATGGTTTACAAATAATGATAATGTACACATAATTTTATATATTATATAAAATTACAAATAGATCTATATTTTAATAGAAATTAATGAACTCAGAAAGGTAAGTGTATATATAATTAAAGCAAAACTTCTTATAGACTGTTTAAATTAATCCAAATGTTTTTTATAGAAATGAAAATTATATTATAACTTCAATGTGTATTAATTTGTTCTAGCTACGTGAATGGCGTGCAATACAGGTAATTCTGCTTTCGCAGCACCATACACATTTTAAAAAACATATAAATACATCATCTTCTTTATTTTTGTATTATGTTTTTGCACTAAATAATGTATCTACGATTTTGAATAAATATTGTGTATTATATATGTTTTTTAGTGTTAAATTTATTATCTATATGACGAACATACATCAACACATACGCATGCATGCATGCACGCACGCACACATATCTACTTTATCATTATACAAAAGAAACATTAAAAAAATTGCATAAAATGAACAATATTAACACTTTAATATTAATATTTTTAATAGTAATATTTTAAATTATATTTTATAACAATTATTTAATATTTTAGTTCTTTAAAAATATCATTTAAAATAACCATAGGAATATTTTTTCTTGTTTTTATAATTTTTTTAATTATTATACACAAAAAATATAAAATTATAATTTGCCCTTTCTTGGTTGTTTTTTTTTCCAATATTTTTTAAGGTTTACAAACACCATAGGACATTATATACATAATGTGAAATAATGTAGCTAGAATAATGAATACTTTATTCCGCAGGTATCAATTGTGCACACTTTTCACATAAAAATTTTATCAAATAAAGGATAATTACATCGTTCAATCAATTTAGCCTAAATCTCTAGAAATTGGAACAATGACTAAAAGAGCATTTAAAGCATTAGAAAAAGCGCAAGCGGAATCTACAGCCGCTGAAGCTGAAAGAATTAAGTGAGTTAGACGAATCAATTATAGGAGATAACAATTAATTAAACAATAAATCTAATTACTTAAATTACAGTAAACAAATGTTAACACTGAAATATCAATGATCTCAACGCCCATTAATTAATAGTAATGGACGTCTATATAATATATTATTAATCTATTTTGGTAATTTTTTAAACTATTGAGATTAAATTAATAAATCGATAATATTAATAAAATATGTTAGTATAGAAAATAATTGTTCACACTTTGAGCTTTTTCACTATTTTGTTAATAAAATATTTTTAATCAAGAATGCAGATGATTAAAGATATGCAGGAAAGGATTCGATTAGAAAAGTACAATATGGAGAAACAAATATTGCTCGATGAACGCGAAGCAGCAATGCGAAAAGTTCAATTAGAAGAGACATTGTCTGTGCTTCATGATTACAAAAGTGCATTTATGAAATATTTAGTTGCCTCCGAAGAAGAAGAAAATGTAAATCTTTTTTTATTTGTATACTTTTAATAAATAATTATATAAGATGCTTATGAAATATGAAATACATATTTTTCTTTATGATAATATGTACGTTTTTTTTTGCATATGTATAATTATTAATATCTCTTTTAATCATTTAACTATTTATTCTTGGATAACAAATATTAAATTAAATTATAATTGTATTAAACAGACTTGTAATTCGCATGAAAGCATTTAATAATATCTTTAATTAACCAATTTATTATTTTCAGTGGACTAGATATATGACTTGCGATGGATTGCCAGATCCTGGCAGTTTGTCCGAAATGAATACTTTTTTATTTTTATGGTCTACGGAAGACGAAAAAGTTAATATGAACAAATTTATTATGAAATTCAATATCATTATTTATGTAAGTAAATTTAAAATAAATTAGCCAATTAATAATTCTGATACAATTAAAAGTAAAAAATTTTGAGTTATAAAAGTATAATACAATAAATACTTAAATAGTTAGATATTTTTATATATGTTACAATTAATTTAACAAAGATAAGAGATAATATTTATAACATTTTGTTTTTATTCATCGTGATAATAATAATTGCATATTTTCTTTTATAGCTGTTGACGAAACTCAATGAAATAATAGAATTCTCTTTAATTAGCTCACCAGATTATATAATCGAATGCAAGATGGTGATAATATAATAAATTCAATAATATTATAATAATATACAATTATATGCAATCAATTTGCTGTATATATTTTTAAGTATATAAAATTTTAATATTTATATAAGTTAAATGCTTAACAGATTAGACAACGATTTCGTGAAAAGCTTCAAGAATGGATAAATGCAGCTTGTTACTCTATTTTGCGTCAGATAGATAGAGATATGGTTCGTGAGGGCATAAAAACAGCAAGATATACTAAAATTTCCGATCAAATTAGTTGTTGTATTTGGGTTTTGATAAAATTGCCTATTCCACTTAAACAAGTCGCTGAAAAAGAACGGTACATATTAGCATTTAATATAACTTTGCATACATAAAATTTATAAAAATAAATACATTTCTTGCGAAATAATACATAAACGTAACCAATTTAATTCATTATTGATTTCAAACTATGACTGAATTATTTTGACAGAAAATCTATCGAAGTTTATTTCAAGGAAATTGAGCTGACTGTTAAAATGCCTTTAGACATTGATTGCTATTGTATGGCAATACGAGCATTGTGGGTAAAGTATGATCATTATTCTGATTCTTCGAGCTCATATATTATGCCAAAACTAACAGAAGAATATGAGAGCTTATATACTATAGGTACAAATTACAATTTGTTTATGAATTTTATTCTTTATTACTTTAAGATAATTGTTCCTCTTTACACAGCCAGTCCTAAATAATCTCCGAGTGACCTTGACCTTCAAAAAATTCAAAGTTATTGACCTTTTCCATCGCTCGTTATTCATTAAGTTATTAAACGTTTTTACAAATAATAAATATTAGGTGTGGGAAAAAATTCGTGGCGTTTTTTTAATGCCATCTAACGGGAAAAACGCCTTTTTCACGAACTTTTTCCCACACCTAATAATTTTCAAACACATGGTACATATTTCAGCAATATAGTATGACTTTTGCTCCACATAAGTTGATGTTTATACATTCTTGTTAGGAATTTGAGAATAATAATATTGTGGAAAGGAAACACATTGTTATTTGATTATTATATTATATTGTAACAGTCCTTTGTCTGACTTGATAGAGCGAAGATGTTGCTCCATGATTTTCTTCATTTAATTTACAATTATGAAAATCTTATAAACTATTATATACTCATGGATATTAATAATCTAACCAATCATGTACCATGGTTAGGATTAGATTTATATGAGTGTATATAATAACTTAATCCTAACCCAACCATGTACCACCCCGCTTCTCACCTGCTTGGGAGGGCGAACGACTTTCAACGCAAAGCGTTTTACGATTTTAATTATTTTTTGTTATTTTCAGTTATTAGTTCAATGGATAAGACAAGACTGGTATGCTTGATGGTCGTGGTGTGATAGTGGAAGCCGATGAAACAAAAGTCGGAGAAAATATAATCGAGGATGGGTAATTGGTGAGGGTTTTTGGTGCTTTTGAACGTAGCAATAAATCTTTTTTTTATTGTTCCTGTGAAAAATCATACTGTAAACAAGAATAATTCAAGAACGTATTGCATCAGGCAGTATAATTTACAGTGATTTGTGGAAAGGATATGTACCTTTAAAAGAACTTGATTATGTGTATTAGACTGTTAATCACTCTATTAATTTTGTTAACTGAATCTGGTGTACATACACAAAATGTTGAGTGGTTATGTATACGTTCCGCTACCACGATTTGGTATACAAGAAGGATACTATGAACATTATTTAGCAGAATGTTTCAAATTATGTTTAAAAAACAATATGATTTTAATGACAAATGACTTCTTTATATCCATTAAATGATGTATCAAGTAATGAATAAAATATTATATATTCTTCATGTTGAAATGTATATGTTATATGAAAAAGTGTCCTAAAAACAAAAAGTGTTCATAAAAATGTTTTTATTAATAACTTTTTAATGAATAACGAGCGACGAAAAACATCAATGACTTTGACCTTCTTGGTGGTCAAAATCAAGGTCAAGATCACTCAGAGGTCATTTAAGTCTAGCTGTGTAAAGAGAAACATTTACCATACATACATAAATATATATATATATATATATAT